TCAAACATTTCACATTATCGAACTTCATTAGTCAAAGATGAGTTCACAAATAGATGGATACATCAGCAGGAACAATGTCATTCATCACGTAGCTAATGAATGATTCACACCACGAAGACGACGACCACAATAAGCAGTTTATTCAATTATTTTGCGTTTTGTGATTCTGAAATAGTAATTGCGTGCGGTAGTAGATCGTTGCACTGTCGGAAATGATTTAGTGTATAATTTCGAGCGTGTTGGTGAACATTATGCTGAATAATATTATTGATCACATAATCAGTGAATGTGCTTCACCACAAGCACACTGATCCCCTAAAGGAAAATAAGATATTCGAGTGAAAGTTAAAAGAAGCGGGATGGAACTAAACTGGATGAAGCTTGTAGGAAAGGTTATGGGTTCTATATATAGGCAAGATAATTTTTATGGCTACACAGAAGACGGAAGCTGTATGACTGATGTTGGTTTGTACATTGATCTTGTACAGTTTCGTTTATCAGTCACTCATTTAAAAGTGATTATTGTTGTCGTTGATTGCTGATATATAATTTGGATCAAGTCGCAGTTATTTCATTGTAATAATATTGTTTTAGCTGTCTCATTGGTTATTTAACTTGTTGCATTTATGCAAAGGGTAGCATCTGCCTCCCACTGTAAAACAAAGTTGGAATCCTGCCGACCAACGCAGGAGTTTGGGAAAATGCTGTGATTATTAGTTATTTCCAGTAGGTTTTTGCAACAAGTTGCGTTACCGGAAACGTTCCTCCGCGTTGTCGGATATATTTCGCAGGACTTTTTACTGTGCTAACCCTGCGAAATTTTTTGCCTTCTTCTTATGACTTGTAGCACGTCAGATATCTTACTTCGCTTACCCTATAAGATTTGCATGATTTTATCATGAAGAAAAGTAACAGACGATCGCAGAAAAAGTGGTTACAGCGTCGACGTCGAAGTAAACAGAGATAAGAGATGTATTATTACTATATATGGCTCATATATATCAAGCATCATTTTCTTTTCTAATTGTATGTACTTGTTCACAGACAGTAAATCGTCGTGTTTCGAAAGATTATTTAGTTATGAAACCAGCAACAACACATTTAAAGCAAAAAGAGAACGTTTCTTTTATAGTTCAATCTACCGTCATTCTGTTTAGGCTTTCTTAGAGCAAAATATTTCAAACAAAATCTTATGACATTTTCGCCGAAAACATATATGGTAATTGACGTTTTAAACATTGTATTATTTGTGCTAATATTTTTTGTTGATCTGCAGCTCAACAAATAGCATCAAACGAGCTTCTGCTGTTTTATCATGGCTTCCAGCACTGAACTTGTTTGTTCACTAGGCTGCTAAGCAGATTGCTCATTAACGTGAGCCCTGATCTCGTCGAGAATTTTCTTTGGAATGCGTACTTTGTCAAAAATTACTTATGGATAAAAATATTCTCATTCGATTCGGCATCAGGTTTAGCCTTAGAAATCTCAGTCTCATAGAGACAGACAATTGTTTTACTGGATATACTGTATGCCAACAGATGACAGCAGTGCTAATTGTTGTAGTATTTTGACCTTTGTCTGTAAGTACTTAAGCACTTTTCTCGTGCCATATATCATTTGATAGAATATTAAATTCTGAACAAGATGTCACATGATATGTGTTTTTGTTAAGTTAAATCACCTGTCCAAATCTCCACAACAAAAGCAGGATCTATCAAAATAAATCACTGAGGTCTCATGTGTAAAATCGATCTTCTACTACAAAAATGATTTGTCGCACAAATTTGATTTCCTATTATGCACAAAACTGTCTCTAGGCTCAAGTTTGAGAAACACTTCCTTCATAGCGAGAAATTGGAAAAGAACAGCCTCAAGATAAGCCTTTATTAAATTGTTCTTTAAAGTATAAAAGAGTAAGGATTCGGTGGAGAAAGTGGTATTCTTGTTTTTCGTTTTTCTTGATTCAGCTGAAATGGAGGCCTAAGCTTTTTCTATTATTCTCGCACTAAAATTTTCTTATCCTAATAAAATTCTCGTTGAAAAAGTGGAGTTTCTTTTCTCGAGGGATCCAGACGGTGTTGGCAAGTGAAATGTTAGGTTTGATATAAAGAAATTTTTTCTTACCTTTTTCGGTTTTAACAATTGCTGGTGTTTCCTTTTGAAAAGGAATTTTCGGTGCTGCCGATGCAGCAATGGTAGGGTTCTGTTGTTGAATACCAGCTCTGTCGAATGGTGGTTCTAGAAGAAGAGAAGATGGTTGTTATTTCTTTAAACGGATAATGCGAAGGCTATTAGCAACTGAGATTTCACATTCTATTTTAAAATAGAAAGGTGTTCGATGCGATTTCACGCAGCTTTATAGAAACGCTGAATGAGAGCGCTGTTTTAAGCATAATTGATGGAGGTCCACGTTTTTTGATCTCAAGAGATTCTGTGCTTATCATAAGAAAATCCAAGGAAATATATTTGATCATTTTTATGACATTTGAAGATATTTTCTCTTCTGATTTCTGACAGCAAAATTTGTTCACTTCTTTTCACCTAATAAACGGCCGTTAAATGAAATTTGTTTTAAAGAATTTAAATACCAGCCATAGCGAGTATTTACTAGCTTTTTTGGGATTTGTAGACTTATCGTTTGATTTTTTTATTCCATTTAATATGTTTCATTAGTCTGGACATTTCTTTCGGTTGTTTTTGTTTTGTTTACTTTGAAATGTCTTTTGGCTTATAATTGTTTTGTAAACAATAATAATTCCAAGTCAGAAGTAAAAAAATGAACTCACTTGCACAAGTAGAAGATGACTGGAAAATACTTCTCCGTTAAAATCGAAGACGATTTTTCTAGCAGTACCTGTACAAATCCGCTAGTGATTTTCTGGTTAAAAATCGATATAAAATTACGCGTCTTTTTCTATATACTATCTTCTACTTACTAGCGTATTTCCACTACAGAACGCATTGACTTTCTGAGTGAAATGTTATGTTGACATTCATAACGGTGGCATCTATGGAGAAACGAACCAGTAGATAGAAAATATCTTCATCATGCAGTGCGAAAAAATTTCCAGATAAACGGGTCTTCCATGATTCTCTCAGAGAAAATAATCTGCAATCGAAATATTTTTGACATTTTTATGTGGACAAACCCTTATAACAAACTCAACTTCACACGACTAAAGGGTATTCTCAGTAACATAAAAAGGGTTTTCGAATCTCCGAGAACTCTCTACACGTTTCATGCAGTGACAAACTCAGAAATGTTTGAAGAACATTTTCAATTCGTGTTACTAAGTTTTTACTATACATTTTCATCTTGTCAACTTTTAAGTACTAGGAAATAAGAGTAGCTCTACCTTGACCTCTTACTTTAGGTGACAGTTAAGCGGTCAACACATAAAAAGTCTTGGTCGTCTGATTTTTCCTAAAAATAAAAGTCCTATTAGAGAATCTGATTTTTCTCTGACTTTTCCATTACTCATAAAAAGCTAAGGAAAGCAGCCCATTTTCGATCCTTAGTAGATTTTATATACTGAAACGGTTTACGAGGATACTGTTTATGTTCGCGAAGCTTTTTTTGAAACAGAAAGTTTTCTGGAAGTTCGAAAACTAGAAAGGTGTTGTCCTAAGCCCATATCGGTTTTTGAAAGAGTTTTAGTTTCTGCGAAATTGCTTTTCTTTTAAAGAGTGTAGCTACCACCGTCCTCGTTAAGCCTGTCTGTTGACCAAGCTGCACTTAGTTACTGCTTACTATCTTGCTACTTACACTCTTACTACTTACTATCTTCCGCATTTGCTTGCTGGAGGGAAGCTTCTTGTACTTTGATCTTTTTAATCCATTCAGATTGTTGTTTATCCACTGCGATACAGATGTTCGATTGTTTGGTTAGTTCATCTTTTAGTTCTTTTATCTGAGTCATCCACATGTTGAGATCTCTTTCGTCGTAATCGTCATCTTTTTGACCTTTACGAGTCTCATTCGTTATTTTGCGAAACCTGTTAATGAGCTGATCCTTATTTTTATCCAGCAGTTGGTTAACGTCAGCCCGGCACTGATCAGCAAGTTGATTAATTTTATTGATCGAGTCTTTTTTCCATTCATCAATCTGTTTCAACAAATGGTGAGGTTCATTTTCATTTGGAGTTTCCAATTGTTGTTTGAGCATATCGTGCTCGTAAACAAACTGATCGAGTTCTTTTGACAATTGTTGGCGGTGATCATTGTAACACGCTCTACACAGTTTTGATGAACAGCCTTCACACATGACTGCAACAGCATTTCTTACACATTTGGGACATTTAACTTTTGATGTAGTCGTCATTTAAAAGCGCAACGAAGTAATGGTTCTTCTACGAGAAAAAGCATACTCTGTTTCAGTCTCATATCAACGTTAACAATAATGATCTCAGCATAGTGTGAATTAACAGCTCGAAAGCATTAATTTGTGTTTGTGTTTTACCTAATGTATAAAAGAATTTGTGGGTTACACACGTGTCAATTTAGATTTTTTCACATTTGACGCTGATTAAAAAAGATAAATATTTTCATAAGAATAAAAGAAATTCCTTTTTCTGTAGATTACAATCATGGTTACCTTTCTACACTGTCAAAAAAGAGGTGCATTTTCGAAAAGAAATACACCTGAGATACGTTAAAGGTGACTTCATTTTTTATGAGTAAGATGGAATTTCCATGTAAAAGACGCGCTACGATGCCCTACGAAGGCAGCTGGATTCCAATTTTATGCACGCGTAGTATCTTTGTGAGACATCGTGGTTGTTTAGTCAAGGCATTTTGAATATCTTTTCTCGTGTAAATCACGTGCATTTTTTATGCATATAGTAAGACATCCCGATGTCCTTAAGACATTGAGGATGCATTAAATATGCCAGGATGTCTTGTAAAAGTAGGTTACTACGAAAAACATTTTATTTTAACGTGTAACAAAATTAAATAAGCAAGCAACAGATTGTAAATAAAACAGTTAATAAACTAAAAACGGCTCATGACAGTAGAATAGGATGAAAAGTTTATATTAAATCAAATAAAAAACTGATAAACACATCATGGAAAAAAATAAATCGAAATCATATCAAACTAGATCGGTTCAAATATCACATGTGCAATTATGGAAAAAAAATACGAAGGAGGGATACAAACATAGACGGTAAAGCAAAAAAAATAAGGCGTGCAGTGCATAATAAACCATTTGGACTCACTCTTCAGCTATAGCTCTGTGCAGCTGTATCAGTTTATTATTTGACAATAACGGCGCTGTTCTATCGACGACTAGACGAACCAGTAAACTGTAAAACCGTTGGTGCTACTTGAAATAATCAATGTCCAGGACATAATGATACGCGATGAAAAGAACCATTGCACTTTGTAATCCATTTTTGCATTCCATATCACACAATTGAGTTCCATGAAAATAAAACTTAATATACATTGTTAACGATTCCATTCGAAATCTTCCATAAAATGCCGGCAACTTTGGCTCGTCTTCCTTCAAAGAAATACGAAAAATAATGAATAACAGAAGCAAGAGTCATACATAAACACGTACGCTGAGCAAAATACTTTTTTCATCGAGATATGATAAAGTTATGTTCACACACTGCAAATCTGTTTCAGATTGCCAAATGAAACGAACACGGTTTTAATTTTATTTCGTTTCTTTCCAGTTATCTCGTACCGATCGACCAAGTTGAATACCGAAATGAGTTGTTAGTTTCTCTAACGCTTCCCTCATTGTATATACCAGTGTTTCTTCTGAATTTTTTACAATGCTAGTAAAATCATGCACGATCTAAACAGACACTATATAATGTTTAGTAGCCCTCTCGAGAACACTTACTGCGACGAAAATTGATCATCTCAACAACTCACCGTTGTTTTATATTTTAATTCAGGGACCAGCATTAAACCTGTTTAACATTTTTCGTTTTATGAACACTTATGATCAAATTTCGTCGATGATTAAACGTTGTTTCTAGCTGTTGCTCAACTTTTAGCTGATTTGGCTTTCTCTTCCCTAGTTCATTATTTAACGATTTTGCGACACGTGAATAATCTATAATGTAGCAATAATATTTTATAGTTTGTAAACTTATGTACACAGCTAACTATTACCGGCATCGTTCACCGATGGTGAAGCGGATGACTTTGTTTCCATTGGTAGATTCTTTTAAAATTTTTCTTCCCGTGATGGTTTTTTTCAGGTCTGTTAGTGTTTTTATGCTTGACATTGTCATACGTATGTAGTTGCTGTTCACTTATCTTCTTGAGTCGTTTTTTTTCCATTTGCACATGATTTCGCCACTTGTGCGACAGTGCTTTTGTAATAAGACGCTATTAAAAAGAA